CAACAACAACAACAACAACAACAACAACAACAACAACAACAACAACAGCAACAACAACAACAGCAACAGCAACAGCAACAACAACAGCAACAACAACAACAACAGCAACAGCAACAGCAACAACAACAAGAACAACAGCAACAACAGCAACAGCAACAGCAACAACAACAGCAACAACAACAGCAACAACAACAACAACAGCAACAGCAACAGCGACAACAACAGCAACAAGAACAACAACAGCAACAGCAACAGCAACAACAACAGCAACAACAACAACAGCAACAGCAACAGCAACAACAACAGCAACAAGAACAACAAGAACAACAAGAACAGAAACAACAAGAACAACAACAGCAACAGCAACAACAACAACAACAGCAACAGCAACAACAACAGCAACAACAACAGCAACAGCAACAGCAACAACAACAGCAACAACAACAACAACAGCAACAGCAACAAGAACAACAAGAACAACAACAACAACAACAACAACAACAACAAGAACAACAACGAAAACAGCAACAGCAACAGCAACAACAACAACAACAACATTAAACAACAACAACATTAACAACAACAACAGCAACAACAGCAACAACAGCAACAACAACAACAACAGCAACAACAGCAACAACAACAGCGTGTTTTGTTATTGGTTCTTCGGTGTTTTTGTTGCCATTTACAACACCCAACATCACCAAGACCGACCCTTTGAGGGGGTCAAAACGGAGAAGACCACAGGTCGTCGTCGGAACCGTTTCCGCGGAGTAACGAGACGACGACACGACACGGTGGTAACGATGGAGACCGAAACAGAAGGGTTTCGGGCGCCCTTCTCCTGGGCGTGGTGAGCGAATGAACTGCAGTTTGTATGGATCATGGAACAAAAGAGAGGTGCAAAACACGCGTGGACGGACCTTGGACTCCTTCTTTTGGAGCTTCGGAGTGTCAAACATGTTTAAAGATTGTTCACTTTTCGTTGGGTTAGGGGAATCTACTCCGATCCCGTGGCTCGAGACACCTCCGGCTGGCGAGACGCACCCTGTGACAGCGGTAGCAAGGACGACCGTGCCTCGCGCGCGCCGCGCGCGTCGCGCGCATCGCGTAGGCGTGGACCTCTGCGGAGACGTCCAGATAGTTGAAGAGCAGCTGTCCCTCCTGGCGACGTCGACGCTGGCGTGCCGCACACCGAGGCGCACTAAGGGCTGTCAGACCTTCCAACCGATGGAGAGCGTCGTTACTGGCAGCTACTGTAGCTCATATTGTTACTAGGAATGCCAGGAGCTAGTAGTAGTGTTTTTGGTCCTAGTAGCGATGCCTTTTGTTCCTAGTAGCTTCTTGTTACATGATACTTCCGAGTTTGGATGGTTTTGGGGCTTAACATACCTATTAAAGGACTGCTCAGGTTGATCATGGCTTCCAAACACCCAACCCTTCTCGTGGCATCTCTTGGCGGAAAAAAAAGTGCAGATTCCCTGGCTGGAAGGAGTCACATCACAGAAAAAAATCCATCCAAGAGAGAGTCTCATCAAGAATCATCAAGCAATCAAGCATCGCAAGGATGATGATGCTTGACGATTCTCATTGCTGTGGGATCAAGAATCATCAAGAATCGTCAAGCATCCTAAGCCCCGGTCCAACTGTACTTTTTATCATGCGGTCATTGGTACATGCTAAAGGTCTAGCGGTCCAAATGCAAGGAAACATCCACTGACACCGATCACATCCTTATGACCAATGTTTGACCCCACATCGTCAAAAGAATCTGTTTGAGATGTTTAAGGAACCCAGACTAAAGCACATCAAGTCCTTAAGGAGACAGTCATCTATAGAACATCCGAACATGTCGAATTGTTGTCGTTTTGCAAGTCCCTCGAAAACGTCGCTTGATGTCCAACCGCAAGATGCGTCTTCGGTCTGTGCCACCAGCGTCCAGCGTCTTCCGGTTTGGACCAACGCCGCGCCGAGGATGGCGCCAAAAGCGACCGCTGCGGTGCTGGGATTGCGGCGCTGCGAGGGGGCGCGGCGCCCAAAGCGACCTCGCGCGACGCTGCGCTCGGGTGCCTCGAGAAGAGTCTGAGCAGAAGGGTAGATCTTGGAGGGAGCGCGGCATCGCTGAAGGATGGGAACCACCTGGCGCGAACACCGAACGTTGACACCGCGAAGTGTTCATGATGGTCGCCGCCATAGCCAGGATGTCCTGATCGTGTCAAGCTCACGAGGTGTCCAACTGTGGCCTGGTCTACTCATCCTGGGGAGCTAAATGGGCAATGGGTTTCTTTCTTCTGGTGACAGAATGAAGCTGCTGAACTGTGCTCTTCAAACATGTTCAAACATTAAAGATCATTCAATGAACAAGTTTTTTGGCCCCAGCTTCTTAGTCGCCACTGTCGCCATCTTCCCCAATCTATCGCTGATCAAAACACATGTTCCTCATGACCCAGCTGATGATCAAAACACCAGCGGCTTGAAACCCCCGATTTCTCCACGTCTCAGGTCTCAGGTCCAGGCCGCTTCTGCAAATTCCGCCTCCCCCAAGGGGTGCCTCATGCGAGTCAGCGAGTCACAGCGCCGTTGACGAGAAGCGATCCGTCTAGATGGACGGCATCCCTTTTGGCACGGTTTGGTTGAAAGGCAACACCATTGTTTAAGTTAATCAGTCTGGTTGGTGGGTTCAACTCTTTTGAATAGGACTAGTCATTGGGTTGAATCATCCCAAGTAAAGGTTCAACAACTAACAATCTCTGAAACCACAACCAGTTATGGGTCGGGGTTCATCCAAGGGCTGTCAGATCAGATTTGATGCATTCACATTTGCCATTATATTTTGATATATGTTTTATCATATTTTTGGGTGTTGGCAAATGATTCTTGATTCTTATCTATTTGCAGACGATGTCGGTTTTCCTCCAGTCCCAACAACCTGGCTTTTCCATGTGACCAGAATTCAAACACTGCAAGTTGGTCGAGGCTAGTCGAGGCTGTCAGATTTCAAGCTCATGGGGAGTCACAACTCTGGCTTCAGCACCAAAAAGCACACCTGTAACCAAAGGACCCACAACAGGGGACACACATATTATTTTTATATAGTTTTTCTGTCAAGGACCTACTTCATGATTCCAGGGGACGTGTTCCTGCGCTTCTTTTGCTTCCAAAGCCTCCAAACCCCCGGTGCAGCGCAACGAGCCACCCGTCAGGTACCGCTCGCTCCCACCGACGGTGGCACGACTCCGTGGCCTCGGAAAGCAGTGTCCTTCGAAAGCAGCCGACACCTTGGACAGGCCGTGCTTCGAACAGAGAGGGGTAACTTAGGGTACCCAAAAATATCGACATCGTGTTCTAGCAGTAAGCGGTAAGATATGGTAAGTAGGGAAACTATATGGACCGTTTGGATTTGTTTGAAGCGACTTGGAAAGTGAACACAGGTTTCACCTGTCCTTAGCCTTACTCATTGCTGGGTAGCACGCACAGATAATGGTATAATTATAAGCTGATAGGCACTATAACACTGCCCTATAGTTATCCTCACTGTGAATCGCTGAAGAACATAATTGTTAGTTAGAGCCTGCTTTTAGAATCTGAGGTATCTAAAACCCATGATGATTATATACAATAATATACATTCATCCATATACAGTATACGTGGAAATACCTAGTACTTCATCAGTTGGGAGAGGGTCACCTCCTTGTTGGAGGCTTTCTTGGCTGAAAAATCCCACTAAAACACCATGAAACCCTGGAAGAATGTTTGAAAACAATTGGATTTTATCTTTGACACTAGCCCATTTATGGGATTTGGTTGGGGTTTGATATTCAAACTGGTCCCAGCCCATTTTTGGGATTTGGTTGGGTTTGTTTGGTGTTTTGGTGGGTTTAGTGTGGGAAATCATAAGGCCGATAGATAACCCACAAAAAAAACAATCAAACTCCAACATTAACCTCAAATTACCCAACGCCAAGGCAAACCCACACCACTACCACCCAACACCTTGACTACAGCCTTGCTCTTTCTTGGACCTCAAAAGTCTCATGCGAATCTTGAATCCGCACAGCCGCAGTCCCGTCCCTGTGGTCCCCTGCGGGAAATTGGCTCTGGCTTTGTTGCAAGAGCTCCAATCTGAGTGCTCAGAAAGCCGCTTGAAGACTTCTGAATGAATCTTCTCAAGTAGAACAGTACATGGGTCAACTTTCCTCACAAACATCGACCACCGCTTTACAGGTGATGCAGCGTAGCAGGGTAGGTCCTCGGCTGTTACAGGTAGGTCAGGGTCTTTTTCAACAGATCTTCGCTTCACATCAGTGTGGACCCGACCCTCGGCGATCTGGACTCAGTGGACTTAGCCACTTAAAATCATAGGCAAACCCGGTATGAGAGTGGTATGATAGTGCTCAAACACATACAGAACACACCGCTCTATCTATTGTTTGGTGGTCACTACACGCTAAAGCTGGCTGATTTTGTGCACTTCATTGATGTTTGATGCTTTTGTTGTTTTTTGCATGAACCAATCAGCTAAGTGAAGATATGGACCTTCGCCAAATGTCATCACTCTGAGTTTCTGAGAGTCTCGCCTTATGTACCCTGACACAGTATGGCATGGCATGGCATGGCTATGTGTGGCTATGTGTTGTCAGCTATTTCAGCGGTGAATCATGGAGTTCTGTCTGGCGAGTGTCTGGGAGCTGGCCGTCCCGCGCACTGGACACGACGAAACCGCTGAACCGAAACCGCTCCACGAAACCTGTCTCACCAGTCGTCTCCCAAGTCACATGGTGTTGCTGGCATCGATGTTGGGACCCTTCATGGCCTAAAACACCGGAAGATCGATGTGGAGGACGTGACCGGGACCGGTTCTCTGCTGAGGCCGTTCCCTTCTTAAACACGAGGCCACTCAGGATGCTGTCGACTTGGCAAGAGAACATCGGATGAACGGCAGGGCGAACGGCAGGAGTTTGGTGGGAACGACCTCTGTCCTTTGTCAAATCACTCAGAAAAACGTGCTGGACATCAAAAAACAAAGCCTTTCAAATATTGATGCAATACTGAAGAGGGCCAACAGTTCCGAACGTCATATGCAAACTAACACATTTTATCATCTGACTGAGCAGTTACCAAAGCCCCCATTAGAACAATTCAGGACGAACTCGCCGCCATCGAAGTCGGAACTCGCCGCGTTCTGGGGAGTTGAAGAGTGAGTCGTTCAAGAATTCAGTATGCTGAACCACACCACCCCCGAAGGCCACTCCTGAACTCTAGACTGCCGTCCAACGACAGCCTGATCGTCGGCACCAGGCTGTCGAATTGAGCCAATCGAGTCTTAAGGGGAGCAGGACTGGGGCCGAACAGGTGCCGCCCACTGAAGATGGCACCATGCTGCGTGCCAAGCCAAGCGCACCGGGAACGGATGGCGGAGGCGGCAATTTTCCGGGCCACGGAAAAAACTCGTTGCGATGAAGTGGACTTGTGAAACAAATCACCAACTTTTTCACCATCAATTGACTGGACATTGGAAACGACATTGGAAAGGACATTGTGCGGATTCTTATACGGTATAATACCTCTCTTGAAATTTCAGACTGCAATCTCATCGACATCTTCCATCGCCCACAAGCACCTCAAAAAAGACAAGCCAAGCAAGCAGCAGCCCAGGGGCTTAGAGATTGAGAATGGATGATGGTTTGTCAAGGCCTCATTGAACAAATAATATCGGGTACCTATTTGTAAAGCCTCCCAATTAAAAAACACCATGTCCGAAGCCCTAAATACGGTTTATAAGTTTTTAAGTTACCGCCCTCGCAAAACGCTACTAAACTTCCAACATGGTCGATTTTTGGTGTAGTTGTTTTCAATTTATCTTTTTGCGTGCCATAGGTATGGGGGTGAGAAGGATGTGTGAAACAATGTCAACTAAGCAAATGCCATACCCGTAGGCGCCCCTCATGCCCGTCAGTACAGGAACTGGATGGCATAGGAAAAGTGCAAGTTAGAAAGTCGATTTAGTTTCGAAGTCCAGGTGTCAACCTGGTAAAGGCGGTTTTCAAAATCGTTCTCTGTTGGCTGCGTCGAGGAACCAGCTGCTCTCGAGAGTTATTAAAATAGCATCGGTTGGGCGGATTTGGTTCCAAATCAAAGCCAAGGTATTGTAGGTCCACTGTTTTCGTGGCCTGCCAACCCGTCTGAATAATACTTCGAGCGGGAAAGGAGTTCCTCTTGAACTTTGTGGGATGCATAGAGGAATTCTCTTGCCGGAACACTGGCTGCACCAAGTAGCCAGTCCATGATGCGATCTCTGTCATGTTCTTGGGCATCTGCTGGCCATCCTGTAATGATGGCTTGCTGGCTTGCCTCCTTTCTGGCTTGAGCTTGGTCTCTTTGCATGAGATAGTTTTGTTGTTTCTGCATTTGCTTCATGCCACTGAAGAGTACGCTGGTGTCATCGAAGAGCTGGTTGAGATCTTGCTCTGCTGAATGGAGTCGCTCTTCGGTGTCAGTAGGCATTGCTTCCTTGCTGCGTGAGGTGGAGGATCTGGCACTGCTGTATGTGTTGATGTGTGTCTCGCCTTGGAGGGGAGGTTGTCCCTTCTGCCGAGTCCGTGCGTGGTTTGTGTGGTGTGTTGGCTATTTGTGAACGCCAGTACTTTGCTTCTTCATCACGCTTTGCATGTTTTTCTTTCTTCTTCTCCTTCTTCTCACGTTTCTTCTCCTCCTTTTTCTCTTTCTTGGATTTCTTGTGATCAGGAGATCTCTTCTCATCTTCTGGGATTGTCTGGAGTTCGAGCATACGCTTTGTCGGGTCCGCCAGCGCAGGTCAGAGATGAGGGGGAAGTAAAAAAACGAAACCTGGTTGCTGGCAACCTCTTGGGCCTGTTTTTCCAACAACCGTAACTGCCCACCGCTGTCCGCCCTGTGTATCTACCATGGCCGCGTTTACACCAGCAGGTTTTCCTTCCCCTAATGGCACGGACTCACGCACTGAGGTCGCACAAAACCGAATGGCACAGCGACATCACCTTTCGAAAGCTTTGGTTGTTAGTCTAATGAAGAATATTTATTCAAATAGAGGTTTTTGTAGGGGAAAAGGAAGACCCTTCGATCTGGAGGTTTTTTGAACTTTCGATACGAGTTTAATGAAGGATTTAAGAAAAACTTCCTGGATGACTTTTTGATTTTGAAGCTCTTCCCAGGTGACCCCCAGGTGACCCTATTTTGGACCCCCCCGATTTCAGGGACCCCCTATTAAAAAAACAACACAACCAAGTTTTTCTTATTGGGGGGGCGGCGTGTTTTTTGATAGGTGGATGTGATGAGTGATATGTGATCATTGCTTGACTGTTACAAGTAAGTTCAGAACAAACCCAATGCTTCTCTGTTCCGTGCAACCCGGCTTCGACCCGGTCCACCCCGGTCCAGCGGAGCCGGCCCAGGGGTCGTGTGGGGGTCGTTGGGACCGATGAAGCACTGGGCCGCTCTCACCGCCAAGAAGGCGGACTTGGAGATGTACAGCTCATCACCTGCGACCGAGCCGGACGTGCCGAAGCAGCCTGATTGGAGCCGTCGAACAGCGATTCGCTGCTCTGAGACCCAGAATTGGTGGAAGACCGGGGTGATCCGGATTTGTTGGGGATTTCATGTGGTATGGTCAAATACCTGCCGCTCCAAGTACACACAAAGTGAAAAGGATACAATTTAAAGCAGTTGGACACCAGATCCATCTTGTGAAAAATATCTGTTCACCTATTTGGGATCCTGAAAAATAGACCCAGGAGACTATCTTTCATGAAGCTGTCCCTTTCTTGAAAGGTGTTAGACCCTGCAGCATCAAAACAAACTCAAGATTCCTGGGGGAACGAATCTGCAAAGAACTGAAATGTCCAGTTGTCTGTTTGGGATCCTTTTTGGATATGTTATTTTCTCCTGGTACGCCCTAGTTATGCCATAGTTGCTCAAAGTCACTGGCGATCCATAGATCATCTAAAACTGACGATCAAACATGGTGATGACATTGTAGCACGCAAATTCTTTGTGTGGTGGGACTAGGATATGATATATTCAATGTTTCAATGCGGTCCTTAAACCACGAGCCTACCCTACATGCCGAAACACCAGATTTTGGAATATGACAAACCCAACTGGCAAACCGACTTCAAGCCCCCACATGGTCCTGCCGAGAATGGACATTCTAAATCTAGATGTTGATTTATACAATACGAGGACATACCAGGACCCGAAACATGCCAGGTCACCACCTGCGACTTTTAAGTGCTGGTATCGATCTATATCGTCTATGTAAACCGTCTATTGACGTATTATGTTTATTCCAGTATTGTCAGTATTGTTCTCTACAAACAGGTCGCATGGGTTGTTTCAGAGTCGTCTTCCTATGAGGTCATAGCCACCAAGAACAAACCACGTTCCGTCAAACAACCTTGACATGGACTCTCAAATTTTACAAAAACCTTGGGAAAAGGAAACACTTCAACAAACCTCTGAAAACTACTGGGATGACAGTAAGAATTTGCCCAGGGGCCTTTCCAGCACCAACCCTTCTCAAACGTTCGCTGGGTTCCGTGCTGCTTTGCAGGTGACTACTCTTCGTTGACCTATGCGGCTTCGCGGCTTCGTCCAACGGTCAGCCCCCATCATGTTCATCTTTTACGGTTTCATTTGATCTCAACCAACTGTTTTTGTTCGTGATTTCAACTCAAAAAATATTGGCGCAGCGTAATTCATCAATCATCCCAAATAAACATTGAATATACATCTATATGGGACACCACATGAAATCACCAACCAGGTGATCAATCGGTTTTGAAAAAATGAATTATTATATACGTGGAAACTTGATCTCCCCACTACTCCACCCGAAAACGTGCTCTGTGGTCAAAATCTACCCAGATGATCCTGTAGCTAGCATCAGGCAGAACTTTTGCCAATGTCAATTTCAGACAGCAACGCCGCCGGCAAACAAAAACATGACCAGTCAAAGTCCTGGTTTACAAAACGCCGGCGTCAGCGGCGTCAACAAAAGTCAGTCTGTAGATGAGATGCAACCAAAATTTTTCACAGATCGTTTCCCATGATCGCCCAAAACGTAACTTTGATAAAGATAGCCGGACAAAAGGAGTGATACTTTCATGGAGTCTGGCAAGTTCCGCCCCAATGCCGCAAGCCTTCTGGGACCTGGGATGACCTGGGACCTGAAATGTGTTCCAGCTGAATGGTTTTGTTTCCGGTGGACCTGGAGCAGTCCGCTAAACGACTGCGAGGTGCCGGGAGCGGTATAAAGGGGTATCTTCTTGGCAAACACTTTTGGCCGCTTGTGATGCCGCTGTGGGCACCAGTGAGAATGAAGTTCTGGGGGGATCAAGTTCACATTTCTTGACTTGGGCTCAGCTAGCTACAGCTACTGGTAGTTAGGCCTACAGGTTGGGACCATGACTATGAGTCTGTGAGGCGTTAGCGTGCAGTGGTTCTGGTACCTACTGGTGCTTTCTTACGGGAGAACGCACACCCATCTCTTGGGGAAGGATGCCTTGCAAGCTGCTCCGAACAGAGACATGACAACAATTCCTGGTTAGTCCTTTGAACACAAGGGGATCAAAGTTGTTAATAGGAATCAGTAAGTGAGGGAGGGAGCGAGTGAATGAGTGAGTGAAAGACAGAAAGAAAGATTTGAAAGAGGAAGGAAGGGACGAGCTCAACTCAAGAATTATTTTCCCACCTGTCAGGTGAAGGTTGTTACGTTCTTAAAGATAGTCCTCTCCTTGCCTCCTTCCTTTCTCCTTCCGCCGCCCCGGACCTCAACAGCAAGTGCCAGATCGCAGTGGGCAGTCTCGGACCCCAACACACAATCACAAGCACACAAACACTCAACCAAACAACCACAAACACAAACACAAAAACAAGCACACAACCACAACGACAACAACAACAGCCACAGCCACAACCACAACACACAACAACAAACACACAACAACAGCACACAGCCACAACGCACAAGCAAAAACATGCAAAACACAACGCGCAGCCACAACAATACGTTTGATTACCTGTGTGTGTGGCATTTTGCGTGGCAGGTGCTCACAGGGTAGCACTTTTGGATGCCAACTGGGGATCCTGGCGACACCCCGACGCGAACTCCCTAACACTACAATAACAATCCCAAACCCGAGGACCCACAAGCAAAGCCGAAAACCACTAACCCCATGACCATGGCAACATGCTCCTCACCATGGCATGACAACAAATGATTGAACAGTCCTGGTGGGGATTAATCGAACTAAGCATGTTTTCAAATCACAAACTTTCGTCTTGTACTAGTACCAGTAGTTGTTAAAAGTTAAACGGGGCATGAATGCTCACTCAACAGACATTGCCGGGGTGTCCAACCTCTGCCTTGCAAAACTTCGGCGTGGCACGTGTTCTCGCAAGAGATGGCGCGTAATCCCATGGAACCGCGGCGGAACCGCGACAGCTGTTCCCAGGGGATCCGTCGACCCCCACACGCGAAGAAGACCGGAACAAGGTCACATATCGTGGCAGCAATTGCTGCATTGCTCTACACAAATTCGGGGGATACTCTTGGAGTGGCGCAGTGGCGACTGGACACCAGTGGCAAGACGTCCAATGGAAATACCTCTGTTGTGTGCAGAGTTTCGGTTTTCTTGAAAACGTTGGCAGATTGTTGGCAAGCCATAAACCAGAAAGTTAGTCGGCTTACTGGAGGATGCACCACGTGCCGAACCACAAGCGAGGACTGCTTCAAGCAGATACAGAAGCTTCTGATCTGGACCACCAGAACCCACAAAATCCTCCAAAGATCTAGCCCTCCGCAACTCACCGGAGAGGGGCGAGACATGCTATAGCTGCTAGACTCCTAGACCCCGTCTTCACGAGATCTCGGGTTGTTGCCTGCTTGCATCGATCAAGTAAGGCTCTGTCGAAGAACAGTCCCATGCCAAGAACTGCAAGAAGCCCTTCGTTCACACCTGCCAGAACTCTGTCAAGACACCTGAGAGCTTCCAGATCTCTCTTGCTTCGACCATCAGAACAAACTTCAGTGATCGCGTTCTGCAGGGACAAGCTTGACGTTGATCCTGTCACGGGACATAGACCTCCAAGACACAAGGACCTTGCTTCTTGACGAGCAAGAAACTTATCCTTCATGGACTCAAGTTCATGTTGGTTGTAGTTCCCAGTGAAGCATGTTCCGATGGTAGAGAAGTTCTCTAGGGAACTTCTGTTCAGGATCCTTCTCACAACAGGGCATGAAGGAAGACATCTGCTGAGGACCTTCTTCGTGTCTGAAGATCTGTCAGACCATGCCATCTCAGGAACACTCAGGACTGACTTGAGGATCTATAGTCCTTCCTCGGAGGCTATCATAAAAATGAATGAATGAATGAATGAAAGAAATAAAAGAAAGAAAGAAAGAACTAAATAATGAATGAATTAATGGTTCAAAACATGTCAAAACCCGCGATCAGCTCCAATATGCCGAAAACCACTACCACTTCTAAACATCACCAGTGTCAAAACATAACACCCAACCTCTCTTGCCAGCTCCCATCGCTCGGCATCCGCACGGCGGCAGCGCGTGGTGGAACGGGCTAGTAAGGATGAGACGGAAGAGTCGAACTGCATCCTTAAGCCGAGCTGAGACGAGCTGCGCGAAACGCGGCTGCACGAGTTTCTCGGCTCGGAGAGATGCTGCGTTGGGCACCGCCGACCATTTCTCGTGAAGATTGAGGGTTTGACTGCTGTTTTTGATTGGTCTGTTGACAGCAAAGGAAATTGTGTTGAACAATGCAGAATTGCTGCCTCTTCATCCAAAAGAACGGCCAAGTTCAGCAAACAATCTGAAAAAGTTGGAAGATCGAGGCTGTGCTTGGGAAAAGAGCTGTCGAAATGAAAAGAACCCAACTTGCCAGCAAACCAAGCCAGCGTGTCCACCATCGATCGCACCGGCACCCCGTCTCGTCCCCTTCGCGTTCCGCGTTCTGGCTGAGACGACCGGTTGACTGGCACCGTCGCTTTCCGCTTTCGCCCAACATCTCCGGGCAGCGAAGTGAGCGATGCTCATCTTGAGCATAGAGATCTGCCACTTGTTGAGACTCACCTGGACAAAAGAGAACAAATCACGAAGAAGGAAAGAATCAGTTTTACAGTCCCATAAAACCTGGTCATGATCTTTATCAATCTGCTTTTCCTTGAAGATCCTTGAAGCATATTCCCTGCATGTGCATATCCAGGAACAGCATCGAATCGACCTGCGGGCATCAGATTCCAAAGCAACATGGCCAACTGTCTGGGCCCGCACGTGCATGCCGCACGTGTCACCTATAGAAATGGCCCTGCAAACATGTGACAGGCATGTTTTAGAAGGTATAAAGAAAACTATACCACACCTGAGATACTCCTGACGTGTCTTCACTTGGCTGTCCTTATAAAGGTCCTTTTGGTAAGGGTTTACCCTGATTAAATCCCTTCTTTTTAAGGTTCTTTTCGCTGGACGGACCGAAACTGGGTCTGGTTGAGTACGCCGCAACTCTTCCACCGTTTCGTACTTCATCCAGGTTCGTCAACCAACCATCCACCCATCGATCTTCACCCACCAGGTTCCACCGATCCTCCAGCGTTCCGCGGTGGACTCGGTGTCTGCCTCCTCACTGGATGCCCAAAGACTGCTCCAAGCTTTGCTGACGGAACCAAAGAGCTTCTGACAACGAAGGCCTAGGGTCCCAGGATGGGATGACATGCTACAGGCATGACATCTGTGGCAAGGCCTAGGGGGCCAGGTGGAACTGTGGACCTCCGTGGCATGATAAGAGATCAAACTTTGCTGTTTCAGTCACGAAGATGATTCAACAGTGTAATGACACATAGCATTCGCAGTTGAACAAAATACAACATAGTTTTTGTTGACATGGTCCAGTGCCGGCCATCTGCCTATTGGTCGAGACCCTGACGAACATAGGGGTGTCAACCTAACGTCACTTTGGGGTACATTATGACACTGCCCCTAGACATGGATGACCAGGAACATGATGCCTTTTTTGTTGAATGACGGAATCCTTCTTCCAGCGACCGGTTCGTAGTTCTCGCATGTGTTTGACTGGCTGGAAGGGACCTCCATCACCGCTTGAGATTAGCGGAAGATAGAACAAACATGAACAAACAACACTGGAACGCTAAACACCCTGTCACAATCTTGAGATACTGCACTAGTTCGCATTCTGCAGAGTTCGACATTAGTTTCAGTGCTAGATAGTGGACACACGGTGAATCATCTTAATCTTAGTTTTGTGCTTTGGAGAACCATATCCTTGAAGATATCGTTCAAGACATAATTCAGTGCATTCACACTTGTACATTGGATGCAGCCCCATGGTGCATGTCTACCATACCAGACGTCTGCAGATCAGAAATTTGCCGTCGCAGATTTCCAGACAGGAAAGGAGACGGGGCAAGTCGGCCCAGCTACGTTCCTACCTAAGGTGACACTATATATAAATTATGATTTGGAAGGGTGAGCCTTTTCCATCTTTTCCTGAAGTCTATAGCATGTGCAGCATGGCAGTGACTTCACCTACAATTACGTAGAATTGGGTCACTATATACGTGGTATGACTTCAATGAAGCTTCCGTGAAAACCAGGGTGTTCTTTTCTCGGGTGTTCTCCCTGCGACGTATGAATGGCTTGGCATCGTTCCATGTCGCCGGCCCACGGAGCCCGTGTCCTTGCCGGAGGCCTTCGGTGCGTAACCCGAAGGTCATCGGGGGAAGGACGGGCTGCGTAACTCGAGGTCCAGCCCAGTCGGAACGGAGGGAACCTTTTGGGTCGGAGTCCGGGCCACGAGGCACACGATCTTCCTGGCCAACATGTCGGGCCAGGGCCTGGCTGGTTTGATACGACCCCTAGTCGTATCTGCTCAGAAGGCATTTGGACTCTCCAAACCCACCCAAAACACCTTCTCAGAAGGTACGACTGGAGCCCTATAGGGGACATGTTGCACAGTTGGAAGATCCAGGAATGACACTCTTCAATCACGCTTCACTTTTCAGGGCCCCCCTGCGTAGCATGTAGAGATTCTCCACAGGCCGTGCCAATGCCAGGGCGCGCACAAAATCAGGTAGCAAGACCTGGCAGCCACCCCTCATTCATCATCATTCACTCAGGTTGGGCAATCATTAAACCAAAAAGAAACGTACTTTCCTGTCCTGTTCATTTGTGAAAACGTGTTTTAGGTTGTTTTGTCTGATTCTAGAAGCATAGCCAGTGCTATAGACTTCCAGATGCCAGCAAAAACTGAATTAACATCATTGAAGCGGTACCACCCGGTACCGGTAGAACACCGCTCCTGAACACAGGTTTTGTGGTCCAATGAATTGTAAGGAACACAGGCGGCCTGGCTCGGCTTCGTCCAGGGCGGTTCATTGATGTGCTGGACCCCCCACACAGCTGCTCATGCTGACGTGCTTCAACTGCTGAGGGTACCTGAAGCTCACTTGGGAGTGAGTCTTTTTTGCAAGCCTTGAGCCATCAAAGGCCCCCAAAGGCCGGGCTTAGGAAGAGGCCAAAGCTCTATTCTCTCTAGGGTTCCAGTCTTCAAATGGTATCGTTACGCAGCTGCGACCCTCCGACCTCCTTCCACCGAACCAAGTTTTGGAAGGTCTGAAGAACTCCAAGAGCATGACTGGCTCGAGGAACTTGAATATATTTACCCCCCAAAACAAACTAACATAGAACCTGAGAATTGACCGGTGGTTTCCACCATTTTCCGAATACCAACCTATAGTGGTTTCTGCGGGGTCCATGTTAATCTGCAAGGGAGTAGACTGTCCTGGCACCCAGCCCAAGTGAGGCCGGAAGGATTTCTGGATGGTCCGTCAAACCCAACGGAGCGCACCTTGGGTTTGGACTCCTGCTTCCCATCGACCATCCGTTGGAAGATCAATGCCTGGGGACTTGCTCGGGAGTTCGGCCAACCAAGAATCCCGTGTTTGTGTGTATTTCACTTCATGGTCTCAACATATCCCAGACACTCCATGTATGCCATATATGCCGATCAGTTGGGGTGGTTTTGGGGGTCAATGTAGGCATATATGGCATACATGGAGTGTCTGGGTTATTCTGAACATGAAGCACGTGGACCTTCAAGGAGCGTCAACCTACCTCATGACATCGTGTCAACCTACCTCATGACAGTACCCTGGACTTGGATGACGAAAATGATGCCTTTCTTGTTGATGGAATCCTTCTGCCAGCGACCGGTAGTCATCGCATGTTTGTTGGACTGGCTGGAAGGGACCTCCACTGTTGGAGAAGTGGAAGATTAAACAAAAACAACACAACCTCCCAGCCATGTTCATGTTCAATCACTCACACCCTTCCAAATCAGAATATATTGTCTTATACTCGCTTAAAGCTAGGACGGCAAGTAGGTAAACTTGATCCAGTTTGCCTAATTGGTTCACATTGGCCAAAGTCTTTGGGACATTCCATATGACATGACTGTTCTCTTGTGGTAGGCAGTACTTCTGTGCTTGTCGCCTGCAACAAAACCACGTTTACAAAACGTTTGAGGTACCCCTGGCATATTCGGAATTTCTCGGGATGAAGGGTGCAACATGGTGCAAGCAGTTTTGGGACCCTGCCACTTTTTGAGCAAGAACGTCGAGGACGGATTCCCCCAAGGTGACTGCTCCTACTTTGGTTGGGTGGCTTGGTGACTGGTCCTTCATGTGAGGAAGAACTGCACGAACGGATGTAAAATAAGCTTTACTTATCCCAAACACGACCTGTATGGGACTGGCATATGAATCCCGATCAGGCCAGGGGTGGTAGGTTTTCGGGGTCAATGTATGGAGCATATGCCAGTCCCAAACAGGTCGTGTCTGGGTATAGACAATCTGACTGGTGTGATGAAAGCAGGGAATGAGCAAACCCAACAACAAAGATACAGTCTACCATGATCCTCAATCCATTCCCCATTCTCTACTAAGAACCAGTCAATAGCGCGACTTGCAGACAGTCCATGCCACAGCCCGATTCAGGGCAGTAGGTCATGCGTCAATAAGCACCAGTCAATCAAATGTCCTGGAACATGTCCAAACTCCTTGGCTTCTCCCCCCAAGGCTCTGGCCCACTCCGCGGTCTCGACTTCCATACTTTCCCCGCGCTTCTCCTTCGGGACGTGCTTTGAGTGTGTTGAAAACGAGAGGAGACGTGGTGTTTTTGCGCCAATTATACAAGGTACAGGCTGCACATATCGTCATCCTGGAGTAGATCTTGGTAAAATCCAAACACCAATGGGAGACTGGTAGTGTTTTAGGATGATGATTTAGGATTGCTTCATCTTCGAAGTGTACCACCAAGTTACGTGTTCGAATCCAACCAGTGGACCAGTATTGCATACTTGTCTTCTGTGTGCCTGCCAAACTCCCAAACTCCGTGCTGTCTTTGCGGGAGCTGCACCGATCTTCGCGCACCGCGCGCAACCGTCTTCGGGAACCTCCTATGTTCGCTTCTCCCGCGCGACGGGTAACGACCAGGTGGGTCCAGACCGGAACCAAACAAAATCCACACGGAAGATTCACGCATGGGGACTAGGGATCGAAAAAGTCATTTGAATAAACCAGGACCCTCAGTTCGTGACCTCTTTGGAGTCTCTGTTTGTAACCTTTAACAGGCCTATCTTTGTGACCTCATGCTGGGATCTCAAGTTCGGTCACGAACTGAAGGTCCATGGTATAAATATTCTACTTCGCTGCGCAGCGCGGACCGTGGGTCCGGGTCCGCGAGGATCGTTACGAAAACGACGGACACATCACATGGTGACGCGGATGGCACCCCCCTGTTGCTCAAGGAACAAAAAGGCTTCCGAACTTGGAAGCCATGCCATCCGCGTAACCATGTGGCTCAGAGTGAGGAGCAACGCTAGACAGGCTGTTCGGGTGCTGTGGCAGGGTGACATCGGGCGGCCGTCTAAAGAGGCGGACAAACCTATGTATTCCAGGAGGACGTTGTGCACTTCGCTGTTGGAGGGAGGGTACTCCAATTTTGTATCCCGAAGATCATCCATGCGTGGGACTGGAATAGTTAACTCATCCAAAGGACCTATCCATGTCGGTCACAAAACATCGAGCCCCAAGGACTCGGCTGACTTTTTTTTGGGCGGCCTGAGTCACACCTTCCACCACCTTGATTCCAC